AGCTGCCTCCAAGGGCGGTTCAGCAAGACCATAAACCCTGGACCCTAGACCCTAAACCCCCTAGACCCTAAACCCTAAACCCCGGGGTTAGGAGGAGTAAGGTCAGGAAGCCGAGCATGGGAAGCGAGGGCAGTAGCGCGAGAAAGAAGCTCAGGTTGAGACTCCGGCCTATGGGGTCTATGCTGCAAGATTTAGTATGAATAGAATTAAAATTAACAATAACAACAAATCGATAATAAGCATAATAAGATACGAACAGCAACAATAGCAATAACAATACTTAATAACAGTAAAATAAGACTAACAATGCTCATGAAATAGTAATAGTTCTGATAGTAGGCATCGGGACCGTAGGGCTGAAGGTGTCGGTTTTCTTTTGGTAGCTTCAGGGCTTGGATTTGTTGCTCGAAGTTTTGGCGTCCATGGTTTAGAGCTTAGGTTGAGGGCTGCATATGTGCGGACCACTGAGGCAAGCAGGAGCAGGCTGCAAATGCCATCGAAGACATGATGGCGAGGCGAGGCAACCAGGTTACCGGTTGGGTTCGGTGCATTGTCCTGAGGACATTCGGTCGCTTGCTTCCTGGCTATGTTCTCTGAAAGCAGTAGTTAACGTATTGCAACCTGAAGGGAAGTCACGCGCTGCGGTACCGTGCGTCCGCTGTTTTCTGCGCAGCGTTAGGCACGAGGTTCACGGTGTTGGACCATTCGCTTTCGCTCGTGGCTGTGGGGTTTGGGTTCACGGCCAGGAGAGTTACAGGGCTTCTCTTGATTCTTTTCGTGTGTGTGAGAGAGAGAAAGTATGTGCATGTTTCGTATGCAACGGTTGAACCGCCCTTCGCAGCTTGCGCTGCCTCAGCCCCTGATTCTCGAAGCGACCTCACGGTCTGGTAGTTTTACCTAAGACCTCCAAAGACCTCTAAGCCTTCATCTCCGACCGCCGAATCAGGTGTCGGGCCTTTGTCCGCGAGAAGCAGTCTGTGCTTGCCTTAGCTAAGTCTTGCGAGTTCTGCGGTGGTTGTTAAGGCTCTCGAAGAGCTGCTCAGTTCCTCAAGCCAGAAGTTATCAGAAGCCAGCACCCCCGAATCAAACAACTCAGCTCGATCAATAATGCACCGGAAGGTTGCACGGAGATCATGGGCAGACATTTCATGTCAGCTTAGTAGTTACGTGTGCACGTCACGTCATACCACCCTTAGCAACCCTGAAGTTATCAGTTGTCTTGCATATGTGAATTGGGCAAGGAAGCAGAGCACGGCGCCTCCATGCCTGCTACTGCTACTGTTTCACTATGCATCTCTGCCGGTGATAGAAGCCCTTACAAGAAATAGAAACCTGAAAGCCCGAAACATGAATCCTGCGACCCAAAGCCTTAAAGACCCTGAGGCCCTGTGCTGAGCACTGTAGACTAACCCTAAACCCTAAACCCTAAACTAGTAGATGCCACTGGTAGAGTTGCATGGTTAACTGTGCTCTCCACAGGAACGCGGTGAGCGTGGCGAGCAGGGAGAAAACGGCGACTCGGCTGCAGCGCAGAGGATCAGGGTGAAAGGCTGAAAAGTTCAGAGTTGTTTGGCCCCTGACTTTCAGGAGAGTGGAATTGGTAGATTAGTAGTTGAATCGTCTGATTTTCTACCTTAAAGACCAATTTAGGACATGGGGTGGGGTTTTGTAAAGGAGTGTTATGCATGCGTGCAAGTGGCCAGCGTGCGCTCACGAAGTGCGCTGACTCTGAACCAGAAACTTTGCCCCCCAAACCCACAAACTCTGATGACTAAAGCGAAGGCTTGTCCACCTATACTCGGATTGTGTAACGGTTGAATCCTACTCTGATATTCCCCTCATAACGGCCCCTACATTCAATTCAATTCAGACAGGAGATGATGGCGCCCAGGCCAGCTTGGGCAGAAAGGGGCGATCTATATAGGGGTTTAAGGATGCTTCGGGTTGAGAACACTCGCAAACCCTAGGGTGAGAGTGTTTGTTTAAGGCAAATGAGCTCCTAAACTTCAAATCCCAAAACCGTCTGGAGTTTTGCCCAGTCCAGGTTGTAGGGTTCACCTCCCTGGGGTTTGATGGCAAGTATTCCCAGAATGTGGGGCTGGTAAAAAAGGTGTGTGTTTTGGTCATGTGGGTTTGCACGGTCAAGGTGTTGGAGTGCTTGGTGTGAGGATGATTGTGTCGACGTCTGACAACTTGGATTCGAAGTGATCAAGTTTGGGGTTTTCGAAGATCGCTTCCTAAACTTCAGTTCAAATCTGCACACCTTCAGTATAGGTGCCCTCTGTCTGTTCATTTGTCATCCGTGTGGTCATGATCGTATGATACCCTAAGCACGCGCAGACTAACTATGCAAGCCTCGGTTGTCTTATGTTATATAGGATGCTGGTGTCTTGATTCAATTGGTGTTGTCTGGCCCTTGTAGGGTTCGAATAAAGCCGATTCGGCGACCGGTTAGAGGCTAGAGGGGATAGGTTATTGACGATTTCAACGTGATATCAGTGGTCTCCCCAGCTTAGGGTTGACATCAGGACATTAGGAGCTCCGGTTGTGCTATTTTTCGGGGCCTAAATAATTATCAATACTATTGTGGTGTTCCTTCTTATAATTATAGTACTGGGCCCCATAATGGGCCCCAAAACCCCATTCAAATGATTACGGCCCCTACATTACTCTCAGTTTGCTTTGGATTATAGTGCTGTGCGGCCCAGACACAGGGGTCCGGACGGAGCTCGTGAGGGTAGGGTTTGGGGTTTAGGGTTTCGGGTTTAGGGTTTAGGATTTAGGATTTAGGGTTTAGGATTTAGGGTTTAGGATTTAGGGTTTAGGGTTAAGCGTTTAGGGGTTTAGGGTTTAGGGGTTTGATGGGAAGACTCAGACATGTCGTGTGTGCCACGAACGTTCGCAAGGCTATCGTGTGGCCGATACCCCTAGACTGTGTTTTGACTAGGGGCAGTAAAGGTTATGCGATCAGCCGCGAAGAGGAAAGTAATTAAGAACTGAACAGTTGCATTTTCGAGGAAATGCCAGTAAGCTTGGCCATACTCATAGCGTCTAGTGCAACTTGCCACAGTGGTTGGAAGCAAAAAGGTACTCACAAACATTGGTATGATTAAGGTTTTCTCTGCCGTTTAGGGTTCAGGGTTTAGGGTTTAGGGTTTGGGTGTGAGCCTTAGTCTTGATCGTCGCAGTCGCGGTGATCTCTCCAGGAGGAGGCTGCCGCGGCGGAGCCCAGCGGCGAGGTGCCAACCCCTGAACCCCAAAACCCTAAAACCCTGAACCCTAACCCTAAGCCCTATGACACCCTAAACCCTAAAACCCTAAACCCCTAAACCCTAAAACCCGAAACCCTAAACTTAAACCCTAAAACCCTAAACCCTAATTAGTGGTAGCTCGGTGGTCTTTGGGTTTTGGACGTAGTCTCCAGGACTCGAGGCTCTGAAAGTCGCTGATTGGAACTTCAAGCCTTGAGGGGTGGGTTAAGTATAAAAACAAATAGTATATATATATACACAGAAAAGAGAGAGAGAAAGAGAGCATGTGTGATTATATATATATATATTTATTTATTTATTTATTTATGGTTGTGCTTATGCATGTATAAAGAAATCTACACATGTACATACGTAAGTAAGTATGTGCGCATATATACATATGTACAGATATACACATACATACATGCATGTACATACACATGCATAGACACATATGTACACATTGATGGGGTAGCTCTGAGGGTTACCATTATACGGGGGGACGTTTATAAGTCATAGAGTAAGCTATTTCGTAAGGGGAACGATTCTAAGGACTGCTATCATTAGTCAGCCCGCTCTTGGCACGGAAGGAGGCAGTGATGCCTTTATGAAGAGTTCTGCAGAGAGTGTAGCGATACTTCCTCGCAGCTCCTTCAGACACAAACCATAACATAACATATCCCCCCGCCCCCAATCGGAAGCTTTGTTGTTATCCAGGTCGCTATAGTCGCTAGCTCCTTCATCAAGGGTAACCTTACCGATTCCTCCAGTCCACATCCAACTTGTGGGGTTCGGTCTCGGGGCCTCGGCTCCACCCAGAGCCATGCATCCTAAAACCCTATTTCCCTCCAGTAATACTCGGATCCTTGGGGTTTAGGAATTAGTGGCTTAAGGTTAAGGGTTCAGGGTTTGCCCTTTGTTGCGTTGGGCTCTCTATCTTGTCACAACTGATTATATCAGAAACCGTACCCTTTCTGTAGCAAGGAAGTGTCCGGTCCAATCGTAGCTTGAGTTTAGGGGTTTAAGGGTTTTGGGGTTCAGGGTTCAGGGTTCAGGGTTTAGGGGTTTCGGATTTAGGATTTAGGGGTTTAGGGGATTAGGGTTACGGGGTTAAGGGTTTAGGGATTAGGGTTTGGGGGTTTCGGGTTTAGGGGGTTTAGAGATTTAGGGCTTAGGGCTCTGAACTTGCCAGGTCGAAGCTCCGGCGGAGGAGGAAGCCAAGGCCCTGGGTCGAGTCAGCTTTTTCCGATAAGGGTTTCATCGGTTTAATGTAGGGGCCTTAATGGTTTCTTATACTAAACTGGGGGTTCCCTTATTATCATGGGCCCCAAAACCCCATTCTAATTATTATAAGGCCTCTATATCACAGGGATGCATCTATGGATCTTCTAGTGACCTACATGGAACTTGTAGGGGTTCTAGTGATTTGTATGGATCTTGAAATGATTGTTCATGGATCTCGTAGGGCTTCGTTTGCTTTCGAGACAGGAACGCAGGATTCTTTAAGGTATGGCTCAGGTGCTGAGCACCTCAGTCATACTGTAGAAGCCTGCAAAATTCGTAACACAGTTCCTCGGTTAGGCAGCATACGAAAAGGGTTTGCATCGAGGCACCTGCGGCAACTCCTGCTCCTGCCGTGACGACAGGCGCGCATGAGTGCAACTTGCAGGTTCTTAGGGGCCGAGAGTTAGATACCAACCCTAAACCCTTGACCCCTAAACCCGAAGCCCCAAATAACGCATGGATTTCAGAGCATCCTTGAGAAGCTTGAGATTGAAGCCGGAACCCCCCGACATGCCGGCGTTCGAAGCAATCGGTGGCAAGCTTTTCCTTTCTGCCTGCTTTGTAAGTCAGGACCACGATGCTGACGGTGGTGAGGATGACGATGATGGTGCTTAGAAAGAAGAGGGCGATGGACATGACGATCATTGGTGGCGACAATTTGGGCGAAAATGGCCGTGACGATGCAAAGGCGACGGATGGATTCAGAGCTGCCATGGTAGTGGTGGTGGCGGTGGTGGTGGTGGTGGGGATGGCGGTGGCGGCGGTGGTGGTGGTGGTGACGACGATGATGATGATGATGATGATGACGATGATGGTGATGGTGATGATGATGATGATGATGACGGCGGTTGGTGCTGTTGGAGGCAGTGGCGGTGGCGGCGGCGGCCTGTATTGGAACCCTGTTCCAAACCGCCAGACCCGACTTAAGCTCAAAATCCGAAGCCTGGAAACCTCCCAATCCCATATTCTTAACCCGACACCCCGAGTCTCAAGCACACCAAAGCCATTCAGCTGGAAAGGTCTGGCCAGCCGCAGCCGTAGTGTCCCGAAGGCCAAGGAAAAGCAGGTGGGCGTGCTTTCTGATTGTTCTTCGGGTTTGATGCAGAGTGTGAACACTACGGTCCGTAGATGAGCAAGACATTGCAATACTTACAATGATGTTTTTAGTTTTGTAGTGTTAAGGGCCAAGGGTGTAGTGATTCGGGATACGATGTAGGGTTCGGAGTGCAGACTCAGGCTATGAAGCCAGCAGTGTCAACAGCACAAGCTACTTGAAGTTTGATGGCTAGTCACAGGGTCACGAGGCGGCTCATGATGCACATCAGTGCAGCTGTACGGGCTTATAGTGAAACCGTGCTACATTGCCATGCATACAGCATCCACAAACCCATCTCCAACCCTATAAAGGCTGCACGTAATCCTGAACAGCCATATGCGTTCTA